AAATTGGGACACTGTCTCAAAAATGACACCAAAGTGGGTATTTTGGCTCCTCAGGTGACGGTAGAAGATTAGGCTACATAGGGGACAAACCTCGCTGATACCCTGTATTGAAGCCATCCAAACTGCAAAGGCAGAGTGCAAGCCAGGGCACATAAACGCCTTTCCCACACAATGAATTGAATTGTTGAATGATGGTTCTGCTATGGCAGGTACAGTTGATAGCCACACACAATTTTGCCAGAGATACTATTCGAAGGATAATTTTACATTAGTGGGGACAATTCTGCTGACGGACCTTTTCGAACTCAAGGAACTGTGTTTAAGGCTAAATTTCTTCAGTGGCAAAACCTAATAATTTTTTTCGGTAACGGTAGCAGTAAGTCGTGATCAAGCGATAAACTAACGGAATTCGAAATTACAAAGCCAACTTGGCAATAGGGAATAGGAGATGAATACAGGGTTCACGAATTGAAGCCGTACAAATCAGTGAACAAAAAGTATCGAGACTATAAACCGTTCATACAGTGTTTTGAATAGCTGATATGACTGTCAAAACATCGTTAAAATATTTGCAAAAATAGTGTGCGAAACAACAAGACCAGTCACCTCAGAGCTTTGAGCTAAGACATCGAGGCGACACCATGGACTGCCCCTTATCAGGCCGTTGTATTGTCCTTCACGGATCTCATTCGTCGTTGACAGTATCTTACTTCTAGCTCTTATTGCGTCGGCTATCCGTAGCCGGGTCGTTTCCGCACCTCAAGTAAATGTTTTGATGATAAAGGTGAAGGCAAATGACACTGCTCAAACTTAAACCACAATGTCTGGTTTGTGCCAAAATTATGTCATGAGCATGCAAACTTCTGTAAAAGTGTAATTTGAAGTTCATTTTCTGACGATACTAAGCCTGTTAGGTGATAATAGAACAAATGAGCTGAAAAGACGTGGACGAAACGACAAGTATCGCGTACATTCCATTGAATGCGGAACACAAGGAGTGTCTTCAATGCCATCGTGCTTGAAGGGCCCTTCCCAAAACTGTAAGCGGTTATGATCAAGCATTTTCGCCATCAATCGCCAATTTATAATTTTGGAGTCATTTGTGTCAGCCTCCCGAAATCCAACAGATTCAGACGACCGTGTGTTGTCGTTACGAATAACATCGAAAAGAAGCTCACGCAGCTCCTCGTCAAGAGGGGGTTCGAATGCTTCGTAAATCATCTGAGCCGCCGCCTCAGTGATGTACTGTTCCTGTGTGAATATAGTTAGGAGATGTTACTTATGCAGTGGAAGTAGCATGCGTCGCTCCGACTTACGCCATTGGCCAGGTAGCAAAGTGTGGCCGCAAGATCGGGTCCACGGTTGTACCTTTTATCCCTTAGTTGTTTCTTCACCAGGGCTCCAACGATTCTCGCTTGTTCATTCAGGTCTATGCATTGATTCCCAATGCCGCGATTATCGTGGAACGGAGCGCTATGTGGGTTTGTCAATCCAAGAATATTCCTTGGTGCATACCCGAACATTAACTCGGCCACATTTCGTTTGTTCATCATAGAAGGCTTCCCAAATGCATGGACTGTATCCCTAAAGAGTTAACGAAAACTGATGCTTAAGGTGTTGCAAAAATCGGCACGCAAAAACAAGAGACCCGGTTGCCTTTATGCTTATTCATTATGAGACCGCATAAAATACATATGCTGACCGACGGAATGCATGAGAAGAGATAATCACAATTAGAGATTGAGTTGAAAACGCTTTTGCTGTAGAAGCAAGAGTTGGTATAATGCTCTAAAATCAAACCTTTAGGAATCTTTGAACACATTTAATTTCCTTAAATGGCAAAGTGAAGTTTAAACTGTAAGAATTACAAATGAAGTAAAGTGAAGAACAATTAAGTACGAGCAGGTAAAGCGGGAAAGAAACAAATAAAATTGATGTGCAGGAAAATTAAAAATGGTTAAGGCTTACGGTAAGGTTTTGGATCTGTTTGAGCATTCTGCATCGGCAGATCTATTAGATCTGTCATCCACCCAGTGCATTAACTGATGCACATATCCGCCTTCTTTATCACAACATGACACCAAACCAAAACGTGTATCTTTACTAAAACTTAAGAAAAGAAATAAACGTTAAATCAAAAGTGTGCACAACAGTATATCCCAAAAGTGACATTTAGTAAAGAGCCCGAAACTCCACTTCGTAACACAGAAAAAAGGGCCAAGAAATCAAGAACTTTTAAGGGGCTACAAGACGTAATGTTTAGTGCCACCGTGGCAAGACCGTGGTTTAGGACTTGTACTAAATCGCATAGAATGTAGGCTCCAATAAATTTGTTCGAAGTTTTTGAAACTAAATCTATTCGGAGTGCCCATGGTAATACAACCAATTATGAAAACGGAACTCATTAACAGCTTAAAACATTTACTTACTGATCATTATAGTCCCGTTTAGCCTGTTCTCCTGGCAGAAGCCTTGAATATGGACGCATATAATGTGTACGATCTTCTAATTCTCGATTGAGAATCTCAATTTTCCGAACATCCGGATTCAATAGTTTTGAAACACTTTCTTCACCTACGAAGATATTTGTCGGCAAGGGCCTTTTTCTGTCCCATTAATTATTACAGAGGAAACACCATGACTACATTATAAAGCTGAACTCCAGTTTTTACTAGTTATGGTAAGAGGTTCTGAGTAAAAAATTCTAAAGGCAAGGGCATTCAAATTAGGTGGAATGCATCCGCAATGCTCATATGTA